AGGCTGCGGTGGCCGGAAGCGGCCACTGCACTCCAGTCTGGGCGACGGAGTGAGACTCCATCTCAAAAAAAAAAACAAAAACACATGGAATTAGAAATTCTACCTGCAGTTCTGTCTGACAGCATTTTTCAGTTCTCATTTGCTGTGGTCCAAATGTTTGTGCCCCCCCACCAAAATTACTATTGAAATCCTAATCCTCAAGGTGATAGTGTTAGGAGATGGAGCCTTTGAGAAGTAATGAGATCATGAGGGATTAGTGCCCCAAGGCTGGGTGTGGTGGCTCACCCCTGTAATCCTAGTATTTGAGAGGCTGAGGCAAGATGATTGCTTGAGCATAGGAATTCAAGACCAGCCTAGGTAACACAGTGAGACCTCATCTCTACGAAAAAATTAAAAAATTAGTTGGCAGTAGTGTCCCAGCTACTTGGGAGGCTGAGGCAAGATTGCCTGAGTCAAGGAGATCAAGGCTGCAGTGAGCTCTGATCATGCCACTGCACTCCAGTCTGGGCGACAGTGAGAACCCCCCAACTCAATAAATAAATAAATAAATGGCCAGTCATGGTGGCTCACAACTGTAATCCCACACTTTGGGAGGCTGAGGCGGGTGAATTGCTTGAGCCCAGAAGTTTGAGACCAGCCTGGGCAACAAAGCAAAACCTCATCTCTACAAAAAAACAAAATAAAAAAATTAGGCTGGCATGGTGGTGTGTGCCTGTAATCTCAGTTACCAGGGATGCTGGGGTAGAAGGATTACCTGAGCTCAGGAGATCAAGACTACCATGAGCCATGATCGTCATGATCATGCCACTGCACTCCAGCCTAGGTGACGGAGTAAGACCTTGAATGAAAAAAAAAAGAAAAGAAAAAGAAATGAAGTGCTCATACATGATACAGCACGGGTGAACCTCCAAAACCATGCCAACTGGCACAGTAGCTCACGCCTGTAATCCCAACACTTTGAGAAGTGGAGGCAAGAGTATTGCCTGAGCCCATGGGTTCGAGACCAGCCTGGACAACATGGCGAGACCTCATCTCTACAATAAATCCAAAAAATTAGCCAGGCATGGTGGTGCATGCCTGTAGTTCCAGCTACTTGGAAGGCTGAGGCAGGAGGATCGCTTGAGACCAGAAGGTCAAGGCTCTGGCTGTGAGCATACCACTGCATTCCAACCTGGGCAACAAAGTGAGACTTTGACTCAAGAAAAAAAAAAAAAAGAAAAGAAAACAATGCCAAGTGAAAGAAGCCAGGCACAAAAGATGGTCACATTGTAGGATCCCATTTATGTGGGGAGGGGCTGCTAATAGGAACAAAGTGTCTTTCTGGGGTGGTGGAAATGTTCTGGAATTAGTAGTGGTGCTAATTGATGTTTAACTTTGTGAATGGTATTAAAATTCTTGACCCCGCAATCCCCCTACTGGGAATATACCCTGAAGAACTCAAATCACTCTATAAAAAAGATGCCTGCACACATATGTTTATCACAGCATTGTTCACAATAGCAAGAACCTGGAAGCAACCATGCTGTCCATCAAAAGAGGACTGGATTAAAAAAATGTGGTACATATACATGATGGCATACTATGCAGCCATAAAAAAGAACAAAATCATGAATTTTGCAGCAACCTGGATGGAACTAGAGTCTATAATACTGAGTGACCTCTCAACAGAAACAAAGATCTGAGTATCACATGTTCTCACTCATATAGTGGACCTTGAACATCCAACGTAATACTATAAGAAAATGACTGACAATGGTGGGAAACTATGGGGGTGGGAGGGGAAGGGAGATGGGATTAACGGTAGTAAATATCTGTCTGGGGACAGGGAGACACCTCTTATCAACAAGGGTGCCTGAACGGAGTATATCTGTATACCTAACCCTTAACTGTACTCCACAATAGAAAAATAAATAAATAAATAAATAAATAAATAAATAAATAATTTTTTAAAAGTCACTCATCTATCACTTATAAAAAGTGAATGTTATTGTAGTAAATTATATCTCAATTAAAAGAATAACAGACTTGTGTCAGCACAATGTGTCTCCTTCAATGTTCACCGGCCAAATATTTATTGAGAAAAGATTATGTCCATTCTAGGCAATAAAGACTCTAAGAACAACAAAAAAAGTCCCTGCTGTTGTGGGAGTGACCATCTCAAGAGGGTGACATACAGGAAACAGAGTAATGTCCCTGCCTGTCCGCCTGCTGGGGACAAGGCCCAGAGGTCCTGGCTGGGGTGGAGAAGATTTAACATGAAATCAAGTTCAGAGCTGTGATTAATCTAAGAGATGAGACTATGTTTACAATTTAAAGTGGATCAACACTTGTGATAGCTCAAATAAGGTCCCCCAAAGATGCCCTTATCCTAATCTCTGGAACCTGCACATACGTTCCCCTATAGGGCAAAAAAGACTTTGCACATGTAATTAAGTTAAGGATATTTGAGATAAGAAGATCATCCCAGATTATCTGGGTTGGCCTAATGTAGTCACCAGAATTCATAAAAGCCACAGAGAACCAGAAAGAAATGGTTCAAGACCATTGCTGGCTCTGAAGCTGGAGGAAGGGTCCACAAGCCAAGGAATGCAGGCTGCTTCTAGAACCTGGGAACTTGGTGTGGGAGGGTGGAAAGATGGCCATGTGGCGAGGACCCAGTGGTCCACAGGATGATGCCAGTTTTACTCTAAGCATGATAAAAATCCATTAAAGGACGATTTTCATTTTAAAAATATACTGCAATAAGATAAATCTTAAAAGTTGAAATAAAAGCCAGAAGCTGGCCAGGCACGGTGGCTCAAGCCTATAATCCCAGCACTTTGGGAGGCCAAGGCGAGAGGATTGCCTGAGCCCGCGGGTTCAGACCAGTCTGGGCAACACAGTGAGAACTCGTCTCTACAATAAATCAAAAATTTAGCTGGGCGTGGTAGCGCATGCCTGTAGTTCCAGCTACTTGGAAGGCTGAGGCGGAAGGATCGCCGGAGCCCAGCAGATCGAAGCTGCAGTGGCCAGGAGCATGCCACTGCACTCCAGACTGGGTGACAGAGTGAGACTCCAATTAAAAAAAAAAAAAAAATCCAGAATCTAAAAATTAATAAACAAAACTCAATAAAAAAAAGAGAAGTAGCTTTGGAAAAAAATCAGCCAATGGTTGTGACTACAAAGTTTCTGGGACGATGACAGAAAGAAAGAGGGACAATTCTTGGTTTCCTCTGGTTTCTTTTTATTGCCTGATTCTCT